CCTACCTGTACCCTGACTGCCCCAACCCTTATCCACACCCCCACCCCAGACAGATCCCCGGGACTTCCATGCCCCATCCAACCACTCCCCACCCCCTGATAGCCCCCCCCAGAACTCCCGACCCATCTAAACCCCTCTGCTCCCTGTCCCCTGACTGCTCCGATCCCTCTCCCCACCCCTGCCACCTGACAGCCCCCCTCAGAACTCCCAAACACCCCCCCCGCTCCTTGTCCCCTGACTGCCCCCTCCTGGGACCCCTGCTCCCAACTGCCCTCCAGAACCCCACCCCCTACCTAAGTATCCCTGTTCCTTGTCCCCTAACTGCCCCCTCCTGAGACCCCCCCACCCTAACCGCCCCCCCTAGGGCCCTACCCCCTACCTGTACCCTGACTGCCCAAAACCTTATCCACACCCCCAGAAAGCCCCCCCTGAATACCAACCCCCCCCACTCCCTGTCTCTTGACTGCCCCCTCCACAACCTCCCTGCCCCTTCTCTGACCCCCTGGCCCCCTTACCCTGCCGCTCAGACCAGCGTGCCGGGGAGGAGGAGCGGGGGAGGAGCTCCAGACTGCCGGTGCGAACTGCCGGCTGGTGATCTGCGAATGCAGGGAGGGAGGGAGTGATCTCAGCTGCAGGGGAGAGGAGGAGGGGCTCTCTCTGGCTGTCGGAGCCCCATGTAAGTGGCACCATCCGGCCGGCTGCCCTGTTAGCCGCGCGTGCTCTGCATGGGGGGGAAGTCCGGACATTTACAAATTCCCCCCGGACGCTATTTTTAGCTCTAAAAGCCGGACATGTCCGGGGGAATCCGGACGAATGGTAACCCTACAGGAAAGTGACTCCGCACCAACGGCCCCTCCTCGCCCCAGCTCTGCTCCCGGGGGAGCGGGGGTCTGCAAGTCCCAGAGCTGCTGCTCTCCCTGACCTCCCCCCCCCCCCCCGGCTCTGCCCACCTGAGCGCCTGCAGGAGCCGAGCCAGCTCCGGGAGAGCGAATGCCCCGGGCCGGGCCAGGGACCGAGTCTCCCAGCCCGAGGGGACCGGAGGAGGCAGGAGGGAGACTGGGGGAGTGTCTGGCAGGGGCAGCAGGAGCAATCAGTGAGGAGGGAGGTCCCAGCTCCCAGCCCTGCCCAGCCCCATTCCCTGCAGCAGCCCGGGGCAGATTGACTTTCCTGGGGAGGAGCAGGGATAGGAAAAGCCAGTTTCTGCCTCTGCCTGGTCCCCGCGCTGCTGGGGGGATGCGCTGCCCTGGGGACAGTGTCAGGGGGATCCCCCAAAGCGGCTCCTTTGATTCTGCTCCTTTTTGCAGTTTGGTTCAGAGATTCTGTTCCTATTTTAACAACGTTTCAGTGGGTTTAGCGCTGGTGGCAGAGGCCGGTGTGATGTGACAAACTTCTTGGCTGTTACTGTCCTGAGCAAGCAGGTACGAATAGAGGATGCTCAGTCCCACTGAAGTAGCAGTGCCTGGTGGCCATTTTACTCTTCTGTTACTTCATGTGTTACATACGCAGATGTTGATAATATTTCTAATTGCATATTTTAATTTCCTAGCCTTCTATGTAGGCCACATAGTTTGTTCTGATACATTTCAGTGACCTTCCTCCTTTGGACAAGTTGACTGTTCTGGGCTGCCAAAATCCAGGCTTTTCTAAAATGAATGCTCCTGTTGCTCCTTTGCATTGGTTGGGTGAGGGCCACGGTGCTGACCTCACCTCTTTGGCCCTTTGGTGAAACTACGTTGCCTTGTCTCCACGCGGTTTTTCCAGGGGGGATTGCTAATGGAGGTTAGTTAACACACTTTTGCTAAGCACTGAGGACACAGAATACAAGGCTGACTCAGATGTTAAATGAACCATTATTGTTCATGGCTTGACAACTGTGATACAGGTTGTGTGGCTCACACTGCTCCTTTGCCATCAGAGGTATTTGCGTCTGAGTGTCTGCAGCCCCCCATTGTGTGGGTGTCATGGAAAACCAGCTAAAACATTTTAAACTAAAGGAATTACCGGAGGCTTCCTCCCTCCCCCGCCTCGCTCTATTTCCCTTAACCCCTTCCGTTGTTAAGGGGTTGGCTAGATGGTCTGACACTGAGGCCTGGTCGGTCTACATTACAGAGTTAGGTTGTCGTAAGGCAGCTGACATCGACCTAATTGTGTCAGTGTACACACTAAGGAACCAAAAACCAGGAGACTATTCCAAGCCTGCATTTCCCAGCAGCACTCTGCACTCAAAATCGTTTTCTCTTAGCTTTATCTCAGGGCCTCAGGCTTTGTCTGCTTGGCTTTCTCTCTCCTTGTTCCTGTCTCTCTGTGCCTGTGTCTGCCTCTGGTGCGTGCACACACACACAGATACCAATCAAAGCCCTAGCCCCTGCATTTCAAGCCCCTTGGGCCATGATTCGACTTCTACGCCCCATTTCCATGGGCCTGCGTTTTGTTTCAGTCAGCTGATTATGATGCCTTCTTTACATTGATTCTAAATGGAGGGCAGCAGTGAGACCTGACCCACTATAAGGTTTAGCCCAAACCAAAACTATATTAATAAGCTTAAGATTCTGTCCCGGGTATTTTTAGTAAAAGTCACAGACAGGTCGTGGGCAATAAACACAAATTCACGTAAGTCCACAACCTGTCCCTGACTTTTACTAAAAATACCCTGGGGGTGGAGGACAAATGGAGTTCTGCTGGGGCTTGCAGCTGCTGTGGCAGGGGCTGACCACTCCTGCTCCAGCCCCAGGGGGACTGACCCAACCCCAGCCGCTGCTCCGGCAGGCTGGGGACCGCTGCTCCGGCGGCCCCGGGGCTGACCACTGGTCAGCTGTTCTGGCAGCCACTGCTCCAGCAGCCCCCCGGGGATGACAGCTGCTCCAGCCCTGCCCCAGAAGAAGTCCCAGAGGTCCCAGAAAGTTGCGGAATCAGTGACCTCTGTGACAGAATCGTAGCCTTAATAACAGATCTGGTTGCATCTTAGTGTTCCCTTCCCACACTAATGGTTAATGGGGTCAGGGGCCATTCTGACACCTGGGAACACAGCAGGGAGGAGACACACTTGGGCTGTGAATTGGTTGGGTAGTGGCAGAGGAGTTGCTATATTGGCTCTGTGGCACGAGGATTGCCCTTGGTATGGGCAAGTCTGAAAGCTAGTCATCGAAAGGGACCAGTGACTTTGGGTGTCCCAGGTTTTGATTGTCCAGCTAGAGTCTTCTCACTGGGGGCTGATTTCCAGAAAGGGTCAAGCACCATTTCTGTCTCCCTGTCTCAGGGCTGCCAACTCTTGTGATTTTTTTTTTAATCACAAGTCTCATGATATTGGGCATAGGCACCGACTCCGTGGGTGCTCTGGGGCTGAAGCACCCATGAAAAAAAAAACAGTGGGTGCTCAGCACCCACAGGCAGCCTCACGGGTCAGGGACTCCCGCTCCCACCTGCTGCGAATCAGCTGTTCCACGGCATGCAGGAGGCACTGGGGGGAGAGGGAGCAGTGGGGGCAGAAAGAGGTGGGGCAGGGGCAGGAAGAGGCGGGGCAAGGTGGGGGCTTGGAGGAAGAGGTGGAGTGTGGGCAGGGCCTAGGGTGGAGCAGGGGTCAAGCACCCTTTGGGTGATTTTTTTTTCTTAGAGCCCCAGCTCCAGGAGCCCTGTGATTCCATGAAGCTCTCAGGATTCTTTTAAAAAAATTAAGTGACATTCTAGCCCTGACGGTAGCAGAGAAAATATGAACCCAAGAGACTCCAAAGCAAGGAGGCAAACAAAATTCATCTCAAATATAGTTTCAATATCTTCTTTAAATGGCAGAATATTTCAGAAAAAATCTCATGATTTTTGAGGGCTCATTCATGATATTTGGACATTGGTCCCTTGTGCTAGAACAGAAGAATGAGGAGAAAGAGACCTTAGCTCGTTAGGACAATGACAGAGCTGAGAACAGAACCCCGGTCTCATGAGTGTCTATCTCGTGACCTACCCACTAGGCCTCATGGCCTCTCAGCTGCCAGCATGCAGGGAGCCCTGCTAGCACAATGTGGCATCGGTCTGTGACTAGAGAATTAAAGCATCATTTCTTCTCATAGAAAAGCCACGTGTCTGATTTTAACTCTTCACATTCAAAGACAAGTCAGCTGTTCCATACTAAAAAATCAGTACAAAAATCACACCTGGGTACATGTGAGCGAACAAACTCACCCTGTGTGCAGGGAGCCCATCTAACCCGGGGCTATTTCTACTCCAGATCTCTCTGATGGAGCCAGGGGAGGAGCCGGGCCCCTTGGATGCAGAGGAAGGGGAGAGTCTACGAGGAATCTGCACAGGTGAGGAGTCTGTTAAATCAATTTGGAAACCAGGGGTGAGGGAAGGAAGCAGCTGGGATTTGCCCCGTGATCCCTCCCCACAGTTCTGCCCCATCTCACCTGGTCAGGTTTGCCCCAGCAGCAGTCACATCCTCATGGCTTCCCTGACCCACAAATACACCACTCTCCTCCTCCTGCTCCCTTTCCTGAGTATTCAGGGTGTTATGTGGAAGCAGATCTGGTCCTTCTGCTTTGGGGGATTTGGCCCCTAATTTCAGATCATATCATTATTTATTTCTGCCGTTTCCCCTTCCCAAGGATTCTTTACTTCCCAGCACAAGGAATGACTTGGAATTTTGCCCCTTTATTCCAGCAGAGGATGGGGCGGTAAATGTAAAGGAGGAGAATTGTCCACAAGGGGCAGTGTTGGGAAACACCGAAGGGAACGTTTGCCAGATTCCTGAGCAGGTGGCGGCCTGTGAGAGTCGAGGCAGCTCAGGTCAGGAAAAGATCCCAGTGGAGGAGGCACAGGGCAGAGCCACTTCCCCTGGCAGAGCTCTCAGGCAAACTAAAAATATTCAAGCCCATCAGAGAATCAGCCCTGGTGAGAAACCCTATAACTGCCCTGAGTGTGGCCAAAGCTTCAGTGTGAGCGCAGACCTTGGTAGACATCAGAGGATCCATACGGGGGAGAGACCCTTTAAATGCCTTGAGTGCGGGAAAAGCTTCTGTCAGAGCTCGCACCTTATCACACATCAGAGGATCCACACTGGTGAAAAGCCCCACAAATGCTCTGACTGTGGGAAAAGCTTCAGCGCAAGCTCAGCCCTGATTGTACATCAGACGATCCACACAGGGGAGAGACCCTACAGATGCCCTGACTGTGGGAAAAGCCGCCTGAGCTCAACGCTGAGCACCCATCAGAAAATCCATACAGCTGCGAAACCCTGTGAGTGCCTTAAGTGTGGGAAAAGCATCCGCGTGCACTCCTACCTTCTTATCCACGAGGCTACCCACACAGGAGATAAACCCTATAAATGCCCCAACTGTGGGAAAAGCTTCAGTGCAACGTCCTACCTTATTAAACATCAAAGAATCCACACAGGAGAGAGACCCTTTAGGTGCCTTGAGTGCGGGAAAAGCTTCAATCGCAGATCAATCCTTCTTACCCATCACAGAATCCACACAGGGGAAAGACCCTACAAATGCCCCGACTGTAGGAAAAGCTTCAGTGTGAACTCAGACCTCAGTAGACATCAGAGAAGGATCTAGGGTGACCAGATGTCCCGATTTTATAGGGACAGTCCTGATATTTGGGTCTTTTTCTTATATAGGCTTCTATTACCCCCCACCCCCTGTCCTGATTTTTCACACTTGCTGTCTGGTCACCCGAGAACGATCCATAGGGGAGAGAAACCCTATAAATGCCTCATCTGTGGGAAAAACTTCAGCAACAGCTCACGCCTTACTAGACATCGGAGAAATCACATGCAGTAGACAGCCACAATGTTTTGTTTTGGTTTGTTATTTGGTTCCCTTGTGATTCTGCTCCAATCACACATCTGGGGACCGTGGGATCTATGGTTGGTTGGCTGTGAGCACCGGGGGACTGAGAGACTGGAGATTCATGCGGCATGATGGTGGGTGCCAGGGAGGGGTAGAGAATATTTGGAAGTTGAGTTGTTGCCTGATGGGCTCGGCCAATGGGAGCAGGAGCTTGGGTGCTGGTGGGTGGGTTACTTGGAGATTGGGATGGGAGGTGGAGGGGGAAAACTGTCCTGGAACTAACTGTTTTCCACTCCAGCAGAGACCAAAAAGCAACATGCCCCCACGCTTCCATCCAACTCACGCTTGGACACAAAACCTCAGCAGTGATCTCAGGGCTGTTTAAGCAGATTAACTTCCCAAAAGCACAGGTTCTGAGATGTGCTGCTCTGTTGATACCAGAGTAGGAGTTCGGTATGACTGGAATTCAGGTCTTACATTAGCGGGTGACTGGGATGAAGCCGGGTGCTTATTGCTTTTTGGATCCTGTTAGCGATGGAAGTGAAAGTTCTACAGAGCATTGGTGCATGTTCTCCATGATGTTGCCATCAAGGTGAAGGTGGCAAGGGATACAGGAGATTTTCCCTTCTGATTCCCATGTTTTCTTGGGGTGGCTGAGGGCTGCCTCATTGTCCTTCCAGAATGTGGCTCAGCTTAACCCTCTGGAAACCAGGAAACAGAGAATTAGAGTAAACTCTCCCACACTGCACCCCCCACACCCAGCCCTAACTCTGAGCCATTGGGGTGGGGCCCCAATAAGTCCCTGTGAGGGGTGGCAGGACTGTCTTTTTCCCAAACAGGTGGAGAGCCGTGAAGAAAGTGCACAAAAGAAATGCTGGAGAAACTCTTAGGTTCTGTCTAGACTAGGATAAAGGTCATGTTTAGGTCTCAGGCCTAGCAAACATGAGCCAGCTAACCCTGCCCAGTACTCAAACACTTCACCTGCTCCGGACAAACCACCGCAGCGGCCAGAGCTTTTCATCCAGTCAGCCTCGTCCTAGGAGAGGTCCCAGAGAAAATCTCTTCGGTTTGCTCTGACTGAGCCTCACGGGGCAGGGCCATATGAGCTGCCAGAACGGCCCAGGCAATAATGCAGCATTGAGGGTGCATGGCACCGTGTGAAATCCAGTGCAGAGGTGGGGTGCTGGGGGACACACAAGGGGGTGTGAGGATGGGGTGAAGCGCTCTCATTCGCCTTTCTTTCTGACGTATTTAGTGCAGTGTCAGCATGGGGAGATGACTGCCACAGCCATAATCATGGCCTTGCAACTCTACCAGAGGCAGATCCAGGTCCTGGGGCCCTGGGCTGCAGCAAGTGGGGAGGCCCCAGTGCTGGAACTGGCCCCGCCCCACCTCCTCTGTCTGTGGCCCCGCCCATAGCCCCACCCCATTCTGCCCTTTCCCCCACAGCCCCGCCCTCGTTCCACCCACATCCCTGCCCTGTTCCACCACTTCCTCCCTTGCCCCACCCTCCGCTCGTTCCTTTCTGCTCCTCCCAGCCCCCTGCTACAGCCTCAAGACCGGAGAAGCTCTATGCTTCCACTGCTTCTCCAGCCCTGGGACCACAACAGGGGGAGATTTTTCCAGGGGCCCCAAATTGGCCGGGGCCCCTGGGCATGGGCCCCATAGGCCCGTGCGGTAATCCACCACTAACTCTACAGGCTTTTTTGAAAAACTGTCATATATTCTTAGATTTTAGATCCAAGAGGGTCCACTTTGCTCAGCTACTCAGACTCCTTGCATAGCACAACCCCGAAGAAAAGGACCCTGACCCCACTAGTTGCAGCTGTCCCTCTCTTCAGATGGCAGTCCGAGCTCCGGCCACTGGCTACGTCTAATCCCCTGGTGATCCCAGCTATACCTAAAGCAGGGAGGGTCAGTGAGTCCATCAGAGGGGGAGTGATGGTAGAACATGGGGCTGGACACGACACAAAATGGCCGATTTTGTCAGGGACAGATCAGGCCTGGTTTGGGCCTAGTACCTCCGGCCTGTTCCGACGACAGAGTTAAGGTTGTTGGAGGAATGGTGTGGGAGACTTCACCTTAACTCTCTGGAAACCAGGAAATATGGGGTTACATTTAGCCACACTCCGAATTGTGGAAAGACAGGAAGCAACAGTGGGCAACCTGAACTCCACATTAGTGCTGTTTCTCACAGCGAATTCAAAAGGGTAATCCCCTCCCCTCCATCCAGCACTTGCCACTGGACTGGTGTTTACACCGAGTTATCCCTCTAATTCTATGTGAAATGGCCTCATTGTAAAGTAACAAGGGTGGATTTGCTGGAGATACTTTGAGGCCGTTACTATTGAACGGATAGGTTCCCCAGGAAGCCATGTGTGTGGGACTCCATTGAGACCTACTTACTTCCCTTAATCCCAAAACCACTCTCCCTGCATCTTCTCAAAGTCCTTTGAATTGAATCATGTGTGATATTTGTAATATGTTTTCTTTCCAAAACAGATGTCTCCTCTGAATGTTTGCTTGTATGAACTGTGGAACATACGTGTTTTGAGACTCAGAACAGCATGTTCTATGTAAGAATGGAAAACCTATACCCTGTAACATTTGAGTTATCTATTTTATTCTACTTGGTTAAGTATAGGGACCAATCAGGACAATAAGATTATGAAGTTAGTTGGTCAGATGTCACTGCAAGTTGTGTCTGGAGGATATGCATTTGCTGTATTTAAAAAAAAAAAAGGACCAAAATGGTTTTCTGGCAAGAACACCCCTAAACACCCAACCTTATTGTAAATTACTTCACGACTTTTATAGGAAATTGTTGAAAGGGGTGTTTTTCTGCACCAAAAAATTTAAAATTCTGCACACGTTTTAAAATTCTGCATATTTTGTCAAAATAATACAATATAATCACACCATTTTCAATTATTTTGGTAATTTATTTCAAAATGCTTGTCAGCAAATAATTGAAAATGGTGTGATTATATTGTTATTGTGTTTGTGTTATGTTGACAAATAAAATGCAGAATTTTTTTTTTATTATTATTATTTTGGTGAAGAACTCACTCAAGAGTTCTGTGTGGCTCAATCTGATGTGGGCAGCTCAGTGGGGGGTCTGGGGGGAATCTGCGTGTACAGGGGCTGGGTGCAGGGGGAATGGGACTCTGCAGGGGGGTGAAAGTGGTTAGGGCTCAGCGGTGGGGGGAGGACTGGGGCTTGGTGGGGGGTCGGGTTGTAACTGGTTGGGGCCCAGTGGGGTGGGGATCCAGGTGTGGGAGGCTCCTTATGCAGGAAGTAAGGCTTGGGGGGGTTCAGGGGGCTCCTGATCCAGGGGGATGCACAGGTGGGGGGGGGTCCAGGTGCATGGGTGGGGGCAGGGGTCATTGTACAGGGAGTTGCTTCCCCTGTCCACCCAACCCAGACCCCCCCGCTGAGCCTCACCCCCCCCCACACACACACACACCCTGACCCACTCCCGCGGCAGAGCTTCCTGCAGCCAGGGGAAGTTTCTGGAGGTTGATCTGACCCAGCCCTGGCTGCGTTGTGCAGGGGAGGAGGAGGGGCAACTCCATCTCCGTTCTCCTCCCCCCCCCTCCCCACTAATGTCCCTGGGTACCCCAGGGCATCCCCAGACCCCCGCCCCCAAGTGATTTTCCTCTCCCCGGGCTGGGGAACTGAGCATCTGAGCTGCCAGGAGGTGAGTGAGCACTGGTGCAGCTTCTCTTTGCTTCCCCGCAGAAACCATTTTCTGCAAGGAAGCAAAGGGGATGGGGGGAGCGATGGTGCATTTTTCTGCTGCGCCGCAGTGTCGCAGATTTTCTCCAGGAGTAAAGCTTGTCAGCCAGCTCACCACAGAAAGAAATATCAGCTACAGACTCTTTGCAATACTCCAGTACCATCTACTGGCTCCTTTGGGGAATGCAGCATGGAAATTCAAAGACAGAGGCCACCCTGGATCCTATGTGTTTGTCCGTGAGACCCTCTGGAAGAGCATAAAAGAAGAGACAAGGGCCATATGCTCTTTCTCTCTCTCTTCGTCTCCACACTCTCATCCATTCAACTAAAACGACTGGATACTACCACAATCTGCCCCAGGGAGGATGCTAACAATGGCATAGTGTTGTAGACCCCTCGAACTTCAAGCAACAAACACCAGAGCCAAACTCTCAGCCTGAACTCAGCCCTTAACTAGAAACGTGGGAGTTAGAAGGATCCTGGTGCAGTGCCGGAGCAGACAGCTGAAACCTGAAACAATGGAATAGACAAAACCATTGGAAAGGTTCCGAAAAGAGCTAAAAGAATGATCTGAGCAGATTAATTCCCCAGCTTTCTCCAGAACCTGGGGGCTTTTAATGCTCCCTCCAACTACCTCTGTACTCACTAGATATCCTAGCTCATATCATTCAGTTTTCCTCCTTTCAGAAACAACTGAATTTTGGCTAGCATCTTGGGCCATTAACATCAGTGGGGTTACTCCTGATTTACAGCGGGGTGAGTGAGAGGGGAATCAGACCCAGTGACTCCAAACTGATTTAGTTAAACCAGTGCAAAAGTCAGTGTAGAGATGCTAATTTCACTGTCTTATTTTGATTTTTTGTGTAAACTGATTGGGAACAGGTTTAAGTTAAATTGGAATAAGCTGCTCTTCAACTGAAATAAGAATAGCAGTCATGAAGAATGTCTACACAGGGGTTTGCAACAGTTCAGCTAAACCGGTTTAATTAAACCCAGGCTTGCCCA